AGAGGAGAGAGAGAGAGAGAGAGAGAGAGAGAGAGAGATCAATGAAGAATCAACTGTTTCTTTGTCGACTTGAGGACTTACAAGGCAATTGTGTAAAAGTCCTATTGGAAACTTTTGGACAAAATAATTCTCTTTGATCTGAATGGCAAAATATTTTAGAACAATGAAAGCAACAAGTATGTTAATGTATTTTACTAATAATGTATATATTACATATTTAAATATTAAATACATATACATTTATGTGAGAGATATTTCAAATAAAACTTAAAATTTTTTTATTACATATTTTATTAAGTTATTAAGTTACTAGTGTAAAAGACAGTATATATTATATTTATTATATTTAGTCTTCATTATATTATTATATTCAATTGATTAATCTAAATTTATTAATAATTATCGATTTTTATTAATCTGTACTAATATAAAAATAATATATTACATTACTTTAAAAGTTAATTAAAAAATGTTATTTACAAAGACACGTATTTCTTAAAATAAAAGTTTATTAAATAATTTAAATAAAATTAGTTCATGGACTAGCTAAAAAAATTAATGTGAGATTAGCTAGACGATTTTATTAATAATAATGATCAATTCTCTATTACCGATAAAATTATATAAAATAAATTCTATCAGAATAGAGAGGGGTGATGTTCCTTCTTTAAATCAAATCCGCACAAAAGTTCGATTTAGATTTAATTACATAACTTAAATAATATAATCAGTAATGAATAAAAAGTAATAAATTAAAAGTAATATAAGATATGGTAATTCTTTTTAATAACTCCAAAATATATAATTCTGTCTTTCCTGCCTTTCTTTGATTTGTTGTAAATTTAAAATATTTATATAGATATATATTATCTTCATTTAATATATATTTTATAGATAAAACAACGTAAAAATAAATCTTCAATAAAATAAATTCCAGGAAAACAAATCAAATAAAATTTGCTTTAATCATCTAGAATTTCAATCTCTAAAATCTCTTTCAAAAGAGATCATTTTTTTTTCTTTATTTTGATGAAACTATTTATACTTATGTATCTTAAAAGTGACTATTAAGGGTTCTGAAAATTATAGAAAGAGAGAGTGAGAGAGAATGAGAGAGAGAGAGAGAGAGAGAGAGAGAGAGAGAGAGAGAGAGAGAGAGAGAGAGAGAGAGAG